CAATAAGGGATTAACGAGGAAGAAAGCCGTGCTGAATTAACAGGACAAAGTGTGACTGGTTGTAATCACTTCATCTGAACTGGCTAGATCCTTCAGTGAATTAAAACGACAATGATCCATACCCAGCAAGCTTGGGACCGAGGACCAGATAAGACCTCTATTTAAAACAGGGTCTCATGTAGACTGAATCAATAATTTCTATTCAAATATATACATGATGTGTGAGTAAGCCTTCTCTCACTGTGACGAAATATGCAAAGAGAACTTAACTTAAAGAAGGTTTGTTTGGGCTCATGGTTTCAGAAGATTCAGGTCGGCTGAATCCATTACTTTAGGCTGGCTGAGGAAAGGTGGCCAAAACATCCATCAGGCAAAGGAGGCTGTTTATCTCACAGTGGCCAAGAAGCAGCGAAAAAGATAAAGGCAGGGTCTAGGGATAAAATACATCCTTCAAAGTCATGCTCCCATGACCCACTTCCTTAAACAAGGCCCTTCCTCCTAATTTATTCATCTTTTAACTATCATTGGATCAATCTCTTAATAAAGTCAGCATCTGCCTGTCTGCTCACCCCTCATTGACTACTTGGGGTCCTACTTTACGCCCAAACTGCAGCATCCTTTCAGAGGATCCATCAACGTTGAGTCTATGACATTCAGTCTTATTTAAGTGATGGAAGATCGCATCTTGATAGAGAACTACACCCATATCCTTTGTTGCCTTGCTGTCTGCATACCAGCTTACTCTCGTGATGCCAAACGAGAGGAAATATTTCATCTAATCATTCCTCAGGGAAGAGCAGATTAGTGATTATAGACACTGTCAGGCTTTGGTGGTGCACGCCTTTAATCCCAGCAGGCAGATCTTTGTGAGTTCAAGGCCAGCCTGGTCTACCAGAACTAGTTCCAGGAAAAGCTCCAAAAGCTTCAGAGAAACCCTGTCTCAAAAAACCAAAAAGAAAAAAGAAAAAAAAAGAAAAGAAAAGAAAAGAAAGAAAGAAGGAAGCAAAGAAAGAAAGAAAGTTGCGTTCCTTGTTTTATTTGAAAGAGGGTCTCATTTAGCCCAAGCTAGTGGCCTTGAATTCTCTGTATTTGAAATGACGTTGGATTCTTGCTTCTCCTGCTTCTCTCCTGGGTGCTGTAATTACAGACATGTACCACTACATCCATTCACGCTTAGGGTTTTATACACATTAGGCTAAAACACTCTACCAACTGAACAATATCCCCAGCCCCTATATTCATTGAGTTTCTGACCTCATCCATAAAGGGGAAATTATCACAGTAACTATTTCATATTATACATATTGTGAATTTCTTACTTTGTGTTTTCAACAAGAGTGAGCAATACACACCAAACACCTTACAGATTAGCCACAGTTATTAAGAATATCCAGATTCACAGCCACAACCCTGCAGACCTAAGAGGCCACAGAGATAAAAAACACACAGCAGAGAACAGCTGCATCTCCCTGCCTGGAGTCACATCAACAACTTATTTTCTCATCTGCTTCTCACTCCATCACCCCTGTCTTGGTTGGTGTTTGTTTGTTTGTTTGTTTATTTGTTTGTTTGTTTTGGGGTTTTGGTGGTGGTAATGGTTTTGTTGTTGTTGCTGTTCTTCCCCACTTGATATAATCTAAGATCATCTGGGAAGAGGAAACCTCCTTCATGCTGGCCTGTGGGCAAGTCTATGAGAGCATTTTTCTTGGTTAATGATTTATGTAGGAAGGCCCTGCTCACTAAGGGCAGTGCCACTCTTGGGCAGGGGGTTCTGGCTGTATAAGAAAGTAAGGTAGGTGAGCAATCCACAAGGAGCTAACCAGTAAGCAGCACTCCTCCGTGGTTCTGTTTCAGTTCCTGCCCCCAGACTCCTGTGTTGAGTTTCTGTCCTGACTTTCTTCAGTTGGCGGGGTATGTCCTGAGAGCTGTAAGATAAAATAAAACTTTTCTTCCCCAAGTTGCTTTTGATCATGGTGTTTATGACAGCAATAGAAACCCTAGACAGTCCCCTGAGATGAAGTGAGGATAGCGGGAAGAGGGACTAGCTGGAACTCCGAAGGATCTGTCAAAGGCTAAAGATACTATGATGGTAAATTCTGTCAGCTAGATTGAATTGAAAAAACTCTTTGGACATTGGTGGGGCACACTCTGGGTGTGCTGACAGGTGTTTCCAGAGAGGGAATACCTGCCCCGACTGTAGGCAGTCCCATCACATGAGCTGGGGTTCCACACAGGACAAAAATGGGAGGAGGGGCAGCAGAACATTAGATGAACACCGGCATTCTCCTTTCTCTGCTTCCTGATCCACTCAGACATGAGCAAGCGCCTGCTGCCCCACCTTTACCCATCTGCTTCCTGATCTACTCAGGTGTAAGCAAGTGCCTGCTGCTACGTCTTTCCCTGAAACCCTTAGCCAAAATAAATCCTGCCCCACCACCACCACCACCACTTTAGCCGTCATCTCATCACAGTCACAGGAAAGTAACCAATACAGACATTAAGCTAAGAGAAACAAAAGGGAAGTCAAACCTTGGAGAACACTTTGGCCTTTTGTGTTCCGGGCAATAAAAACTTTCATTTCTCTTTGTCTCTCAACAAAAACTTACATTAGATTTTAGTCACTTCTCAGAATCCATCATTCCATCCATAAAAACTAGGAGAACGTAATGTAAGATGTTCACTGCCTTGAGTAGTCTTTGAAGCGCAGAAGTTGCCACTACCATCTCATACTAGAATGTCTATCACTACTCAAGAACCCCATTAACAATTGCTCCTCTGCTCCTCCCCTACTCTGGCCCTGGCAAGCTCTAGCCTCCTTGCTATCTCCTCTAGCATCAATTTTAGTGATAAACATGGATAAAACAGCTGGCCATTATTGAGGGAAACTTCAGAATGGTCTGTTAACAGAATTATGGTATATCTATTCAATTAAATCTTTTATAGATTTTAGAAATACCTTAATGGGGCTGAGGATAGTTCAGAGTGTATGCTTGATTTATGAAAGGTCCTGAGTCTGATCCCTTAACAGAAATTAGTAAAGACTTTATCATCAAAAGAAACATTTCCGGGGGCTGGAGAGATGGCTCAGAGGTTAAGAGCATTGCCTGCTCTTCCAAAGGTCCTGAGTTCAATTCCCAGCAACCACATGGTGGCTCACAACCATCTGGAATGGGGTCTGGTGCCCTCTTCTGGCCTGCAGACATACACACAGACATAATATTGTATACATAATAAATAAATAAATGAAACGTTTCCCACCTAACTTCTAAAACTTTTTAAAATTGTAAAGTAATGAATGCTTACTAGCATGAACCAGAGAATGGTCTGTTTTGTGAACATCCTAGAATTACCAAACTTTCACATGGTATTAAGACACTTGCTAATCTTTATTTTTTTCTTTATCTTTTAAATATTTTCTAACTGTTTGAAACTAATGCAATTGATTTCAAATTACTGGGTTAGGGTATTAAAGAACACAGACTGCAGATGGTCCAGACTCTCTGACTTATATCTAGTGCTTATCACAGTTATCAGATCTCAAGGTTATAGCCTCCCCTGGCAGCCCAGAGCCTTCAGATAAAGGTCCTAGCTCTCCCCTCAGGAGCAAAGCCAGGAACTCATAGGCACTCCTACCCACACCCTCTGGCCCTTTGCCTCTTACCCCATTCCTCTCCCTCCCCAAACTCACACCTTAAGAAAACTTATGTACCAGAAACTCCTTACCAACTTCCTTCTGTTGAAGTATTAACTGACGGTTTAATTCTGGATTCCAGCTATACTTTCTCCATATGAGCTAAATAGTAAGGAAACTGGCTCAAACAAAATATTTGGTACAAACAAAATAACTACAAGTTGTCCTCCATGTCCGCATTCCTACTGTATATACAGATACACCTCACATGGGCACGACAGCCTGCCATGCCCCCTCTTTTGTTCCAGAGCAAGCACCGACAGAGGTTCACGCAGAAGTTCCACCACAACCCACATACACTACTCAGATATGTTCATTCACAAATCCATACACACACACACACACACTCTCTCTCTCTCTCTCTCTCTCTCTCCATCAGTCTTGTCTAGGGTCCCCTCAACCATACCTGGAGATCCTGGATTATATTTGTGTTCCAGCCTCTCTTGGGTTTGCTCAGTGCTAACGCAGCAAAGGAACAGAGTCCACTGGGTTCTGACCCTGGGACACAGGAGGGCCCCAGCCACCTCCCTCTCTCAGTCTCACGGCCCTTCGCACAACTAGAGCACTAGAGTAGGGCATAAACCCAACAGAGTGAAGCTACCCAGTGTCAAGAATCCACTTACTTTCAGGGATTTGAAGAAGACTGAATAGAATCACTTCTCCTGAGAAACTCAAAATATAAGACCAGTAAAGAAACAGAGAGTATTATATAACCAAGCAAAAGTTGGAGCAGAGAAAAGGACGTGGTTATGCAGTGCAGATTCTAAAGCAGTCTTCATTTGTAAGGACTCGGATTTATAAGAAGCCAGTTAACTGAGCTGGGAAGCAAGAGCACACCTCCGACTCTCCAAGACAAAGAATCCACAAACACAAACTGCAGAGGCCTGAAGCACCACTCAGATTTCGCCCGAGGCTCCCTCTGTGCCCAGTATTGAAATACACCACTGTCTGCTCCAGCCGTTCAGGAAAGACAAGTACAAAACAAATCAGAAAGTACTTTTGTGCTTAGGATTGCGATCAGCGCCCAAGTTGCTTTGAGTAAGACCAGGGAAAGACTAATTCCCAGTTCTAAGTACAAAGGCCGTTGAGAAGCAGAGGGGACAGGACTTTAGCGGTGGGTGAACTGGGCCTTAAAGAGGAGCGGTAACAGGTCAGTCTTGGGAGAAAGGGGTGGAGAAAAACTAGGTTTGAAGGAAGGATTGGGGCAGAAGAGAGGGTGGGGCAAGTGGGCTCCGCCTTCTGCCGCTGAGTTCCAGGTCAGCGACAGGTTTTCTGTGTCCCTAGGAGACAGGTGAGCGAGCTCCTGAGGCCTCCTGGCTGGGCGGGGCGCAGGGCACAGGAGTTGGGTTGGTCTGGGAGGAGAGCTTCTGCGAGTTCTTGCTACACCGAACTCAGGAAAGTGGCAGGGAGTCTAGCCGGTGGGAGCTGTCTTGAGATTGACTGTCGCTGTTTCCTCGGAGAAAAGGTGTCCCCTTCCCACGCACCTCCCAGCCTCTGTGCTGACAGGAAACTTGAAATCAGAGCTTAATGACTTGAGGGAAGAGGCCTGGGTCGGGATTACTTGGGGTGTGGAAAGTTATTAGAACTTCTGGTGGTTGCCTTAGGCCTTTCTAAGATTTTTTCTCACGTAGTTGGTGTCCCTGTGGCCTTGTTGTGTCTTGGTTCGCATTCTCCTCCATCCAGAGCATGGGTTGACTCAACTGTGGCAGACAGCAAAAGTCAGGCTGAGAGGTAAGTGATGAGCGCTCTCCGTCTTTCCAGCAGGGTCATACGGGTGTGGGGGGGGAGAAGAATGGAGGTCTGACCAGAGCAGGAAAAGTGAAAAGCCTGACTGATCACCTGGATTCCAGAGATGCCTGTGTGCACTGAGGCCACAGGCAGCGTAGCTGGCCCTGGATCCTGCATGGTGTACTTGGGAGCCGGAAGGGAGACTGCAGGAAAGAGAGAAAGCAGGGAAGGCAGGCAGTGCCCAGACATAGGAAACTCACATGAGGCTGAGTCAGACTAGGTTCCCAGCTTTCCACACCGATAACCTAAAGGGCACGATGGAGCCCCCGGAGGCCCTGAAGATCATCTGTTTCAGACTGAAAACTGGGAACCTACAGAGAAGAGCATAATATTTTTACTTTGGGGTCTGGCCCTGGTGTGGTGCCAGTGACAAGCTAACACACAACTGTTTGTCTCTCTACAGGTGCCCTGGGAGGGACCATGGTGCCAAGGCAGTTGTGGGAGAAACTGAAGCAGTCATTTCTCTTCCTGAGCAGTGCCTCACTCCTTCTGGGGCTGGCTTTACTGGTCATACAGCCTAACATTGCCCCTTTTGCTTATTTCTTCCTCTGCTTGGCTGGCTTCTGCTTTCTTGCCTGCCTCTTGTCCTGTGTGGTGGAACGGAGCCTGCGATCTAGGCAGAGCTCAAGGCAGACTGAGAATTCAGAGGCCCCAGGCACTGCACGGTGAGGAAAGAGGGATGACAGGAAGACGCCCTTAGGCCAGTGGTTCTCAACCTTCCTTATGCTGTGGCCCTTTAATACAGTGCCTCATGTTGTGGTGACCATCAACTGTAAAATTAGTTCATTGCTACTTTGTAATTTTGCTACTGTCATGAATCATAACATAAATGTCTTCAGGATATCTGATGAGATCCCTCTCAAGGGGTCGCAACCCACTTGTTGAGAACCACTGCCGTAGGCCCTTATTCCCTTGAAGCCCTTAATTTAAGCCTAGATTCTGCTTTCTTCTGTCACTGGTATTATTAAGAGCAACAGTCAGAAGACAATAGAGGGGTCTTTTGCCAGAGTGGAACGGAAAAAGACTCCGTTCAGGCAGTCACTAACGGCTGTGTTTCTCCTCCCACAGGGTCAATGAGGCTTTTGAGGTACCAACCTATGAACAGGCCGTAGTGATGGACTCAGAAACACAGCACCACCTCCAAGAGCTGGAGCAACCACCCCCTTACAGCAGTGTCGTTATAGCCCCAGGAGTTGAGGGGGCACAACCTAGCCAGCTAGAGAGGCCCAGCCCAGGAAGGCTGAAGAGACGAGTGGGCTCAGAGGGGACAATGTCTCGCAGAGGAAATCCTGGAGGAGCTCTTCGACTTAGGGGCCCACGAGTTGCATCCACTGCTCCCGATCTGCAAAGCTTGAGGGTGGCCCCCAAATTGGAGCCCACTACTCCACCCCCTGCCTACGACATCTGTGTTGCTTACCCTGAAGATGACAATGTTTTCTATGAAGACAAATGGATACTTCCCTAGGCCATGCTCTCAGAACTTATCATGGCAGCACTCCTCTGCCCAGCATTTCCTACTATCTACTTAATCAGAAACTGGTTTTGCCTGCCCGTACATCACAGACGGGGTCTTCAAACCAGCCGGGAGGCAGACTATGGAAAGCCCTTCCCATTGGAGATATGGGTGGCAGTTGGATTCATCTGGAAAAATTCTGGAGCCCATCTGACGTCCAGCATTTCCAGAATAAGGTGGAAGATGAGAGAGAGAGAAAGAAACTGGAGTGGTACTTCGGAGTGACAGCTGTTTCATCAAACCTCGCTTAGATTCCTGGTGGGGTATTACATAACAGGGTAATTAGAGACTCTAAGGGTGAGGGGGGCTGGAGAGTTTTCACAAAAACAAGATGCTAGTAAAAAAAAAAAACAAACAAACATAAAAATAACTCGAGTCAAATCCTAACCCCGGTGCCTATTGTTTTCAATACAAACCAGGCAATTCACACGATTTGATAACCGTGCCTTGGGACAACTAGTAAATAGGAGAGAGAAATCTAAATACGGACAGCACGGGGGCCATCAGGTAGGATAAGTGCGACCAGGAGCAACTCCAGGCTCGGAGACGAGCGCCTTCTAGTGCTTTCCATCTTCGGCGGACCCGGGCCGGGCCGTGGAAGTTCAAGGCGAACAATGAGGAGCCCAACCCTCTTTGGTTTCGCTGTAGTTATTGCAGGAGGGGCCGGAGGTACCAGGGGAGGGGGCTGCGGTTTCCGCGGGAATCGATAACCAATCAAATCTCCCGGCGGGAGAAGCCCCGCTCTTTTCCCCGCCCCTTCCCGTTCCTCCCAGAGCCTCCTCTCTGCCCATTGGGTGGTGCGGGTCCCGGCAAGCAGTGTGCGCTTGCGCGAGCCCCGGTAGAGGCGAGGCCTGCTTGCGTCGGGGCGGGGCGTGCGCAGGCGCGGCGAGGGTGGGAAGCTGGGGGGGGGGGGATGCGGGGGCTGGCGCGGCCTGGGGTTTGTTTGTATTGTGGGTGGTACGTGTGCAGCCCGGGAAAAACTGGAAATGGCGTCGCCGAGCGGGAGGTCGCCGTCCACTCTGCACAGAAAAGGACTGATGGCGGCTGACAGGAGGAGCAGGTGAGCAGGGCAGGGCGGAGGAGGCGGCCGGGCGAGTTGCGCGGCGTCTTGGCCTGGTCCCGCGTGGGCAGAGGTTGCGGCAGCCTCCTTTGTCCAGCGCAGGGGCGTCTGGACAAGAGTGGGTCCTGTCAGTCCCGCTAGATTTCGCCTGCGGCGTGTCTGGAGAAGATGCTTCGTCTTTTCCCTTCCAGTTCTCGCCTGAGGATTTCAAATCAAACCTCCCCTAGCCAAGGAGACCTGCAGACTTCTTAGCTCGGCCTGGGGCGCTTTTGGTTTGCAGTGACTGTAACGTGACCTGCGCTGCTTTCCCGTGTAATAGATGTTTGTCAGTGAATTGCACACAGGTGTAGGGGATTTGGATCCTTTGATGTTTCCCGTGTCTGCCCCTTCTCCCCAGTCAGTTTCGGTGCAAACATGGCCCAGGAGGACACAATGGACTATTTCCTGTCCAAATCTGTAACATTATATTGGACACGGGAACCTTCAGAGAACACAGAAGCAAAACGTTAGACTCCTCCTGGTGTCGTTTTTCTCCATTCCCCTTTCCAGGGGTTTCCTAGAAGTCCAGGAGATTGGAAACTTTTGGGGAGGTCGTTGTTAAGCCTCTCCTCGCAGTTTGAAATGAAGGAAGTAGCAGGTGTGCGGAATGGGTGGCGCTTCAGATAAAAACTGGTGGCTGCCTAGTTCCATATCAAGCCTGGGACAGAAGAGGGTTCAGAACTGGAGTCAGTAAGCTGTGCCTATGGATGAAATTGCCTAGGGAAGAGCCTTTTGGTGGGGGGCTGCCTAGCGCAATGTCAGCGTTTAAAGGCTACCGGACTGTCATCCTGGAAGCCTGGTGGCTGGGCAAAAGGGGCGGAAACCCAAGGCTCGCTTGATGGACACACAGCTCCAGGCCTTTTCCTATCATAGGGAAGAGAGTGGTCAGAAGCCCCCTGAAGGAAAGCAGAGTGTGTTGGGGCTGTGTGGACGCGGAGAAAGTACAGTGTGGAAGCTAAAGAAGCAACCTTTTAAGAAGTGAATGTTCCTGATAAGCGCTGCTGCACCATTGACTGTGTACCTAAGGATATACCTAGCCAACAGCTGCGGTATTAACTTTCTTTTCCCCAGAATTTATGTTTAGCTCCACTACTGTGTTGTCTTATGATAAAGTGATTTTTACCTGAAGTTTGAAATTCCCAAAGTTGTTGCTGTAGCGGGTTCGAGTGAATTTTGAGATAGTGGATACGGTCTAAATACTTGATCTGCCTCTTATACCTCTTGCTAATGCAAATTTCCCAGGACCCTGTGTTTCCATCCAACTGTAGACTTCTCAAGGAATCTTTAAGCTAGGGGCATTCCACCAGTGCTTGATATTTCACTGATTGGAGATGCTTATTTGGTCCCCTATATTTTACCCTCTTTGAAATCAAGATGCAGCTAAAAATGTTTTATTGTATAAAGTGAATCTGTTACAATATCACCTGTACTGCCATCAGACCCTAAGCGTTGTCTTAAACTAAACAAACTGGAGATCCTGGGTTAATATTCATTGGGCACATAAAGGACATATTGGAAATGGGACTTTTTAAAATTATTATTCGTGAGCCGAAGCAGGTCTCTTTCCAAACTTGAGAGCAAAACTAGGGACTCTTTCAAATACAGCTCTCAATGGTAAACCAAAGCACTAAAATAACCATTGCTTGCACTGTCCTTGTGGTTACAAGTTATGTTGTGCTCATCATTGGTATCTGTCTACTTACCCATGCCTTGTGGGATTGTGATCATTTAACATTAGTTTATCATGGAATTGTAAAATATTTTTGATGCAATTTCTGTGAACAGCCTAGAGAAACTGTGTGTGTGTGTGTGTGTGGTTAAAAACATGACTGTTGGCTTTACATTTTGTATTTTATTACTGCCCTAAGATTGTTTTTGACTTAGGTTAGTTTCCTAAGAAAAAGTATGGTCATGTTTTCTAAATGTTAGTACTTGTCTATCAGAGGAGTGTTTGTTCTCTCAGATATATTTGTGCTTCTTTATATTAATTTGACCAAGATAGCTACTTCCTCTCCTGGTCAGATCACGGTTTCAGATAATCTGATGTAGACCTTCTCTAGAGAATTATGCCTTATTTGCTTAGGGTCAGTACATTACTCCCTAGGACGTTTTTTTTTGTGGGTTTTTTTTTTTTTTTTTTTTTTTTTGTTTTTTTTGGTCGGGTTTTTTTTTTTTTTTT